GTCGAGAATGGGCACTGTTGAAGGTACAGGTGTTTCATTGTATGACGAGACTTAAACCCGAAAGCTTTGTAACTGCTCTCACGGCGATTCAATAAATAAAATTAGAAAAAATGAAAATAAAAATGTAAGTGGAGTTCATGTCCAATTCAATTAGCTAATCAGTGCCTAAATAAATAGTACTCCTACATAAAAAAATAAAAGTAAATAAATAAATAAATAAAATTTAGATGTTTATTCTGAATGGAAAAAAAAAAGAAAAAGAAATTTCCCAAACCTGGGGCTGGAGTGATAGCACAATGGGTAGGGTGTTTGCCTTGCAGGGCTGACCGGGGTTCGATTTCCGGCATCCTCTATGGTTCCCAGAGCACTGCAAGGAGTAATTCCTGAGTGCAGAGCCAGGAGAAACTCCTGTGCAACACTGAGCATGACCCCCCCCACCAAAATAGTCCCAAACTGTTTGACTTTGCACACGCTATCTGTCCAGCCTTCCCTCCATTGTTTTTTTTTAGTATGTTGTGCTTGAGAATGAGATAATTTACTCTTTAGTTTTCTGTTGATATCTGTTCATTTATAACCAAAGCCTCAGTTTTACCTTGTAACACGCTTAAGGGTACAGGCAGCTGAGTGACTTCAAGCATATTCCCACTATCATCACTATCCAGACCTTCCACACCTTTGCTTCCTTCCCACAGTCATTAAACTCCCTGCCTCTTATCCCTAACACCTCATGTTGCTCTCTGTCTCTGTGATTTTGACTACTCTGGGTACTTTATGTTAAGTGGAATTTAATAGTATTTGTCCTGTGCTGTTCTGTTTGTTTAAAACTCAATATCTGCACTGTAGTTTGTATTAGGAGGCCACATTTAAATGTGACCAACCAGTGGTCTGCACCTACTTCAACCCATTAACTAGGCACATCCTGAAGTTCCATCCATGCAGCATTTATGTCTGAAAGCCAGTTTATTTTATGCGTATGTAGTTCAACTAGTCAAAAAAAAAAAAAACACCTTTAGATATTTTATTTTATTTAGTGTCTCATTTCCCTGACCCTGAAAGAGCTTCCAATATGGAAGCACTGGGAAAGACAAGTAAGTAAGGAGAGGCTGCTAAAATCTCAGGGTTGGGATGAATGGAGATGTTACTGGTGCTCGCTTGAGTAAATTGGTGAACAGCAGGATGACAGTGATACAGTGATACAGTGATGCGGTGATGTTTAGGTTCTGTCCAGGGCAGGAAGGGGGTTGGTCCACTCTCAGTGGTGCTCAGGGCTTACTCCCCGTCTCTTCACTCAGGGATCTCTCCTGGTATGACCGGGGACCATACATTATGCCAGGGATCAAATCAGGGTCAGCCACATGCAAGGCAAGTCCCTTATCTGCTGTATTATCTCTGTGGTCTCATCTGTATCTTTCCAGACGCATCAAATACATGCAGTTAGTATAGACCAACTTTACCTTTATAAAACTTTTTAAAAGTACTAAGTCTCATAGTGATGTTTGAGGACTAGTGCGTGCGAGGGGTTTCCAATTGGAAAGGTCTCTCTGAGTCATTTCCTTTTCTCAAGTGTTTCCTTGTATATACCATCTGTTTTCTCCCAGCTGTCTCTTTAGTTTTGAAGCCTCCTTGGCACAGCAGTGCTCACAACTGACTGTATCTGGGCACTCATGGAGGCATGGTTGTGCCCTGAAGCTCTGCAGGTAAAACAGGCTCTGGGCAGCACCACACTTCAGAGCAAAAGCTAACAAACTTCCCGTGCAATGGCAGGTTTTTGAGCTGGCAGCTTAGGCATCCTTTTTTTTGAGAACAGTATTTAGAAGAAAGAGAAGCTTGGAAGAACTGAGCGAGCCTTTGGGGAAAAGCACACTGACGACAGAATAGTAAATGACAGTATTCACAAGCTGCTATGTGCTAAAGCTCCAGAATATGGTAAGGTTTCCTGATGAGATGCAGCATCCTAGAGATACTGGGGGAAAGAAGCGAGAAATGCATTTTTTCTCTCATGCTTCCTGAACTTGGAACTTCTGTGAAAACCTCATATCAAAAACAAAAATTTGGGTTAGAGAGACAGTACAAGAGTTAAGGTACTTGCCTTGCATACAAACATCGTGGGTTCAATTTCCAGCACCACATATGGCTCCCTGAGCACCACCAGGAGTGATTCCTGAGCGCTGATCCAGGAGTAAGGTTTGAGCACCTCTGGATATGACCCAAAATTATTTAAAAAATCAAATTTGTAGGTCTCGCAAGATAGCTCAAAGGGCTGAGTGCATGTGCTCCTTTAGAAATGGATACAACATGATCCCCCAAGCACTGCCAGGTTTGGTGTAGAAAACCAAAAAAAAAAAAAAAACCAATAAAATTGTAAAGTTCAGATTTATAAAAATAAATAAATAAATAAATAACACACACACACAACTCATTTTACATATAAAATATTTCAAAGTGGCTCTAAGTTTCAAAAGCACCTATGGCCAACCTGGATTTATACCATACATGGTCCCCCAAGTCCTACCAGGAGTGATCCCTGAGCACAGGGCCAGGAGTAATCTCTGCTCTCTGTAGGTGTGAGCCAAAAAGTAAAGAACAAAAAAAAAAAAACAAACATAAAGCATGCCCTACCAAGGTTAAAAGTTGCCCACAAGCAGCTCTCCAGCAATGCCATGGCTCCAGAGGCACAAGGACTTAATGCAGAGCCCAGCAGCTTGCAGCAGAAAAGTGAATGGACTATGCGTTAATCCACGGCACCATGCCTCCCTGGGAGGGAAGGGGTGTCGCTTCCTTCCGCCTTTGTTCCCTTGACAGCAAGAGATGGCAGCCGCCTCAGAGCTTATTGGAAAGCCAGGTATGAGCAGGCGGTGACGGGGCAACTGCAACCTCATGGGAAGGGGGGCGTTCCTGGCTCATCCTTCACGCCCTACCGAGGTCACGAGTTGCCCCCCACAAGCGGCTCTCCAGCACGGCCATGGCTTCAGAGCCACAGAAACCAATCTCATAATTATCTGGCTCTTGGCAGAAATCCCTCCAGACTTGATTAGTAAAATATCAGAAATCCAAAATTGCAATAGCAGCCGCGTGATGTCATATGATTCTCATAACCAACTATAGAAAACAAATTATCTCACAATGCCTTTTCAGCAATTCTAATAGTTGGGTGGAAACTCTAAACAATAATGGTACATCTTTTGTTGAAATAATGAAGGTAATCTAAGTAGACAGAGAGTTAACTAGAAATCATCTGCCTCACAGGCATTGGAAGGGGTGGGGGTGGTATATTGGGGTTCTTGGTGGTGAAAAATAAGTACTGGTGAAGAGAAAGGTGTTTGATTATTGTGTGACTGAGACTTAAACCTGAAAGCTTTGTAACTTTTCCCACAGTGATTCAATAAATATATATATAATATATATATATATATATATATCAAACATAAAGCCTCCATTCTAGGAGAAAAGATAAGAAACTTACAGAGACATAAGAAAGAATATTAGTTTCAGTATATACATTTAAAACAATCTTAGTTTCAATATATACATTATGATAGAAAACATAAATTAATGCAAATGTTTTAAAAAGGGGGAATTCCTCCAAAAGAAATAAGACAAATTGTCTGAAAACAAAAATTAAACACAGAATATAAAATAATCTGATGCTCACGACAGTTATAAAATGAGTTGTCCTCATACTGTCTTTATAAACTAAGAAAAGGGCCACCCCAAAACTTCATTGAGATCCTACTTCTACATAGATTATCTTGTTTAAATCTAGTGTTCAGTTGAAGTGTCTGAGGATTTAACTGACTTGTTGTTTACAGACAGAGGATTTTTCCTTTCCTCAACTCTTCTTTCCTGCGCCTTCTTTATTCTTAATTTTTTTTACTTGAAATGTACATAGGGGCTTTAATGATAAAGTGTTTGTCTTGTGCAAATGAGAGAGGGACTCCATCCACTGATCTCCCCTCAAATATCTGTTCTCACTCATTAACCAGAGCATACTGTACAAAGAGCAATTTATTTAAAAGCTAACATTTATCTTGTTGCAGTATTTTTTCTCTTACTAAGCAAAATGCTTCACTAAAATGAAGATGCTATAGCAAAATTAATGTCAGATTTTTAATAAATAAGAAAAAACACTATAATATCAAGACTGGATTTGTTGGTGCTGTTTCTTTTTTTATTATTTCATTTACTTAATTTTTAGTTTTTGTTTTTTGGGTCACACCCAGCAATTCCCAGGGGCTACTCCTGGCTCTGCACTCAGAAATTACCCCTGGTAGTGCTTGGGGGACCATATGGGATGCTGGGAATTGAACCTGGGTCAGCTGTATGCAAGGCAAATGCCTTCCCCAATGGACTATCACTCTGGCCCCAGAATTAAGCCTTTCTTAAGAGACACAGGTAGCTTCATTTCTTAGTTTCCAATGGGACCATAATGAACATTGTCTATTTTTCTTTTATATAACACTAGGCTTGCACTAGGCTTATCATCACTCCTATCGAAGACTTCCATAGAAAGTTTGAAGGGTGGATGCTGGTTTGGCCAATTGCGAACACCAGCTGTAGCTTCCGTGATTCCTCTGAACATTAAGACAGCCATGAAGGCAGTGGGAGCCTGCCCCTTTCTCGTCCACTCGACGGTTTCCTGTATCAGTCAGAATGAAAAACATCCCACATTTCATAAGCACTAGCGTGTCTCCAAAGGACAAAGTATAAAAGTTTTTTTTTCTCCCATCCACATTCCTCTTTAATCAAAATACTCCCACATATATGTAAACACCACTAATCATTACTATCCAGTTTTTAAGCAAATAAATTATGCAGTGTGATCCCTAAAACTTTAGTGCAGAGAATCCAACAAGAATATCAATAATAACATTGAAATAAGAACATGCACTTACCTTATACACACATATTAACCGTGCCTTATTCCAAACAAAGGCCATTTTAAACTCTGCCACAGTTGTGAATTTGAGCATAGGAACATAGCCAGCCACTAGTTTACTTACAGCAAACAGTGGAATCTTCATCACTCTCATCAGAACAGTCCGGCTGAGAGTCACACACAAATTCTTGGGCAATGCACTGACCACTAGCACAAGTGAATTCACTGGTAGAGCAATGTTCTCTGAAAGGGCCCTGGGCACAGGCATAGACCCAGAGCTGATCCAGCCCAATGAAACCTTTCTGATTCAGAGGAGTTCCTTCCAAAATAATCTTCAAGAAAAAGATAAATAGTGTATGAGTCTATCCTCTCTTGAAAAGGTAATAGATTAATTCTTTCAAAAAATATCTTGAAAGAACAAATACAACTGAAATCAAGTTCTTTTGACAAGTCTGACATACACTTATAAGACTGACAGACACATTCAATCCACTGAGCCTCTGAGAATCTAAAGAGTGCAGCATCTACATACAAACTATAGCATCTGACATCGCTGATGGCAAAGCTTTTAGTTGTTCATCTTGATTCTCTTTCCTCTACAAGGAAAATCATATGGTTATTACTTAACAATAATGAGACTAATGTTTTAGCTACTGAAATTGTTGGAAAGTTAGGACAGAAAATGTCAGGCAAAGAGTAAGGGACATACAAATTTTCCAAAATAGAAAAATACACTAATTTTACTAAAATAATTTCCCTAATAAATGGGGTAATCAAAAGAAATATCTTATTAAATTGCTAGTTTTTCTAAAAACATACAATATTAACATGTGAAATAACTGCATATGGCTAGTTTAACTGCAAGATAATGTCAAAGTATTGATATTCCTTAAAGTCCTATCAAGAATAATTGTTAGTTAACATCAAGATTATTCATATAAATAATGGACAATAGCAAATAATCAATTTTCAACTGTCCAATGTGGCAGTCAATGGCAACATACTCCTATTTCAACTTAAATTCATTTAAAAAATTTCAAATTCGTTCCTCAGGTAAACCAGTCACATTTCAAGTGCTTAATAGCCATAAATAGTGGCTACCATCATATAAAGAAGTTCATTACTGCAGTTGTATGGATCAACACTAAATGATGTTGTCAATGTTTAAAATATTAGGAATAAAGAGTGACACTCTTATCTTTGTCCAATTAAAAATAATATGAAGCATATATGAAAGATGATCTGATTTAAAAATTAAGATCACATTTGAATATACATAATTTAGCTTATTAAATATTACATTGTGTGTAAATATGAGAAAAGTATTCATTGCTATATACTTTCTATATATGATGATTAACTATGGAAAACTTATTAAACTTAGAATTGTACATTTTCATAGCATAAGAGATCAAATATGCAAAAGTTAATATAAATTTGGGTTTCAAAAATTGATGACTTTAAACTTGTATTTTTAAAAAGTCTGCATTATGGGAAATGAATTCTATCTAATATATACTTAGAACCTAGAATAAATCCAAATGAGTTGTTTTATATTTTGCCTTGATTTATCTTGACTTTGAGTTTAATAACACAACAAACTTTAATGTTGCTTTAAAAACAAAAGGACAAAATTCCATCACGTAAGCCTAGAAAAATTAAGTGTCAAAATAAGAAATCAATAGGCCACAATATAGAACCTCAGCTAGCTGAGATTGTTAGAAAAATGCTGTGACTCAGAAATATCAATCTCGGATATTAGTGGAATTCTAAACTTCTTCATGACTATGGTTCATATTATTTGAATTTTCCCCTTCAACAACTGGAAAAATGTACAAATATGGTATTATACAGACTCCTTGTTTCACAGTCACACTCCAGTGTAGATATATATTTATCACTCTATTCACAGCATAAAATAATGGAATCTTGAAGTATCAAATTTCAAAAATAAAATCCCATTTAGGAGATGATAATACCAATTATTAAAAATGTTGAGTTCAGCAGCCAAAGAGGTAGTACAGGGGTTGAGCACTTGCCTTGCATGCAATAGAATCAAGTTCAATCGGCAGCAGTACATGATCCCCAAATACTTCTGAGAGAAATCCCTGAGCATACTCAGCTGTGGCCCAAATGTTGATCCCACAAACATTACATTTTGTATTACATCATGATCTTAGATACAAATGAAGACAAACAATATAAAAAGTTCTAAATGTTATCTGATACATAGTTCTTCAAAATCTTGACTTCTACACAAAAATAAAATTATGCACAAAATTCCAAATAATTTTAATAGCACACTAAGTATATGTATATTTCAGACAAATTTGCTGTGAAATATTAAAAATATGTATACAGATATATTTGTATAGAAAGAATTTTACCTGTTTAGAACAATGTGATCTGTGGCATATACTTTTGCATACACTATTCCAATTTTCAATACCATTTATTGATCTTGGTTACATAAAGGATACTAGGAAAGGTGCTGAGGTGCTAAAGATGGAGTTCATAGGAAATAATGGAAACTTTAAATAAGACTGATTACATCCTCAGGGGAAGTTTAGTCTGCTATGAGTTAGGAACAATGAAAAGAGATAGGTCATTGATCTCCCCAAATGTATAAATCTATACCCCTAATTTAAATTCTAACTTGAATTTTTCAAATGGAAAATATATTACTGCAAAGCAAAAGAATTATTTTTTGGTAAAAAAATTGTGTTTTATACCTTAAATGTCTTCAGTCCTTTTGGTATTAAGACATCTGCCTTTATCCATTTCCTGTGAGTTGATGTATTATATGTCCAAAATATTACTTCTTCCTTCAATTTAAAGAAAAACACATTACTCACCTATTACATTCTGCCCTTATAGTCACAAATGTTTTCACTTGAATCCATTTTTGTAGAGTTAACCTTACTCATATGATTTTAGGTGCTTAAAAATCTACAGTATTAGTTGAAAATAGGCTGTGTAATTTTTATAAAGAAAAATAAGGAAAATGTGGTTTGAGAGATAGGATAATGGTTAAGGCATTTGTGTTGCATAAGTCCAGTCCTGTTGGATCCCTAGCACTGCTTATAGTCCCCAATCACCACCAGGAGTGAATCCTGGGTACAGAGTCAAGAGTAAGCCCCGAGCACACCAGGTGTGGTCCTAAAACTAAAACAAAAAATAAAGAAATGGAAAATGTATAGGTAGAACAGAGGGGGGCAGTGACTATATCCTGTATGAAAATATGAAGGCAAATATAATGCATGTCATTTTACATATATATGCAAATGTATATATACCATATATGTATATATATATATATATATAAACAAATCCACCAGGCATACTTTTAGCAAGAATGATGCCCAATGTTTACATTTTAATGTTTACTTTAAAATAATCCTCAGGATTAGAACACACATTTCTACTTAAATTTAGAATAATAATGCAGTCAAAATTTAATTTATATTAATAATTACTTATCACATGAAAGCATTATAATAAAACCAGATATATTTTTCAAGTATTTTATCAAACGCAAGAAAATTTTCTAGGATAGTTTTCACTATCTATGAGCTGGGTAACATGACTCGGGTGACAATAACTGGAAGATGATTGAATGATAAGTGGTATAGCATATATGAATAAAGTTAAACTCTTTTTGTAATATTCTTCCACACATGTGGAATATTTGAAGCACACAGAAATGGTGGAAGGTATTACCCACCATTCCATCCACTCTCCCACACCTTACAAAACTGAATGAGATAATATCAAATAAATTCTTGTGCTGCAGACTGCAAATTACATAATTAACATGTCATAAAAATTACAGTATGCTAAAAACTGTATGCTAAAATCCACATAGTGAGGGAAAATGAAATGTATTAAGCTACCAACTAAGAGTTCCTCATTTAACCTCTTGACTGTGTGCCCTTGAAAAGAAGAGGTAGAAGAAAGACCACAGGACATACGAGAAAGAAGACAGATGTGTGGCAAAATGACAAAAGAGCCCAAGTTATATAGCCGAGGAATGAAACTAGTCTTTTGGTGATGACTGTAAGGTAGAATGTATGGAAGTGCATTATAACACTATAGACCTAAAACCATTATTATGCTATCCACACAAAAGGAAAATGAAGAAGTAATGGGATACAACAAGGAGAAAAACTCAAGATTATTCCTCTTGAATGTTTGGTCTCTCAGAAATAAGTATTTTTGCTACTTGCGATTAATTATGATGGCATTTCAATCTCTGCAATAAAACATTAATGACAGATAGTTAGTGGCATTTGACAAACTTGTGTTGAAAAATAAATCTGTCTATTGCCATTTGGACATTTCAACAGGATTTATTCAAAGCACCGTGAGCCAAAGGGAAGAGACTAAGATACAATCTCTCTCCCTCTCTTTCTAGTGCTAGAATTCCTATAGTGATTGTAAATTTCCTGCTTTTACAATGAATTGTGTTTTATGATTTCTTTACTTCTATCTATAAATATTCTTTGCAACAGGAAATCTCAGTGTCTCCAGTAATTTCCCACTTGTAGAAAACTGGTTTCTATGAAACCTAAACGCAATAGGGATGGACTTATTTTATTCATTAACATTATAGATATGGTTTTCAGTTTATCTGGTGTGTCATTTTCCTTTCACCCAAAAGATACATTTCTCTGTTTTTAATCAGTAAAACAAGTCTTTAAAATCTATAGGCATCCAGCAAAACAAATTCCATCAAATTTAAAGTCTTATATATAGATCTAAAACCCTACACAAATCACACTGAAACTTCAATACAGAGTATCTCAATATCTCAATTTTATCAATACAAGTCTAAGTGTCTCAGTTTTATCACTGACAGTTTCTTTGAGATATATTTCCAGGAATTTTGACAACTGAATAAAATAATGTTGTAAAAGTTAACATATTAGTTTTTGTACATGACAGTATCACTTCAGCTGGTTTCTTTCTTTTTAAACATCCCTCTTTATGATTCCATGAAAAAATTTCTTTTTAAAGGTATATCAAGTAAGTAAAGTTTAAGAATGCCAAAATCCAAGTTACAATTGTGAAGCAGAAATACAATCTACATCAAAAATAAAAATTATCTTTATTCCATACATTTAAAATAAGTTCAAGTTTTTTCCTCACCTTCTCCTTATAAAGTCTTACTCTCAGAAGACTGTTTGCCATAGAGTAGTAGAATTGAAGATGGCAGCTCTCGCTCTGGCAGAGACACTCAGAGCTATTTAGGTAAGTCCTGTGGTCTCCAAGGCTAAGGGTAGAATCAGGCTTAGCTCCAGTCCAAACATAGAAATCTGAAAAATAAAGGGAATGGAAGTATTTTTAATTTAGTTACTTTTGAAGAAAAAAATTAATTTCTGTAATTTTCAGAATAAGTCATGAAACAAGTGTTTCATTGAACAGCATATGCCATTTAAAAATTATAACATCTAGAGAAGGGAGCACCAAATAAAAGGTGTTGGGAGGATCCTCCCAGGATGGGAGAAGCATGCTGAAAGTAGACTATAGACCAAACATGATTGCCACCCATTGCCTCCTTTGCAAACCACAATACCCAATAGGAGAGAGAGAACAAAAGGGTGGGATGGGAGGGATACTAGGATCCGTGGTGGTGGGAAATGGGAACTGGTGGAGGAATGGGTATTTTATCATTGTATAATTGAAACGCAAGCACAAACATTTTTAAGTCTACAACTGTACCTCATGGTGTCTCACTAATAAAAATAAAAAAATAAAAATAAATTAAAAATTATAACATCAACTACAAATTATAGGATTTTATTTTCATATGTGATTTCTGAAATGAGCTCAAATGTTCTTATTTCTGAAATCAAACCTGACAATTCCCTTAATATGAAAACTTAAAATAGTGTATGATGTAAATTTGCTGATAGATGAGCGGGACAGAAAGAAAAGGGATTGCTTGGGTAGGGTGGTAATGTCAACTGGTCAGCCACTATGGAAAAAAAACATGGATTTTCTTCTGAAATTTAGAAACGGAATCCTCATTTTACCCCATAATCTCTGTATACGTATATATTCAAAGGAAAGAAAACCACCTTGAAAGAAATTATGCATGTGTTATGCAGCAAGCTCATTGTGGCATTATTTATTATACAGATGACATACAAGGATATACTGTTAGTGTCCATTAAAAGTTGGATTAATAAATTAAAATGTAAGTCTCAAAATGGAGATGTTACTGGGCCCGCTCAAGCAAATCAATGAACAATGGGAGGACAGTGACAGTGACAGTTTACACATACACAAATTTATTTTGGTTTTTTTGGTTGATTGGGGGAGGGCCACACACAGCGATGCTCAGGGGATCACTCCTGGCTCTGTGTTCAGGAACCACTCCTGGCAGTCAGTTGGCGAGAGACCTTATGGGATGCTGGGAATCAAACCGTGGTTAGATGTGTGCAAGACAAATGTCCTGCTCACTGTACTATCTATCCAGTCCTGAAATACACAATTATATGCACTTAGATATGCATGAGTGTGTATAGGTATACACACAAAGATTCACAATGCAGCCTCAACAAAGAAATTGTATCTAGACCATGAGAAATTTTGCTCAGTGAAGTAACTCAGGCAGAAAACTTTATGTGATCTCACTTATATGTGGAATCTCAACCAAAAAAAATGAAACTCATAGATATAATAGTTGTATCTATTAATAATACATAGATGATACAGTCACTAGAAAAGAAGGTATGGTGGTAGGTGGCAAAATGGGTAAAAGTGATAAAAAAAAGGTACACATTTCTAGTTATAGTATAAATAAGTGTGGGATATACTATATTGGTCAGTAGCATTAATAATCTATTATATGTTTGAAGGCATAATAGATATGGAATAGATTTGTCTCATCTATTATACATGATACATTTTTAAGACAGTGAATCCTAAAAGTTTTCAACACAAGTAAAAATATGTGTAACTCTGTGCAGTGACGGATGTCATCATTACAGGGAGCAACTTCGAAAGCCCTGACAAGTCAGGAGGGAAATCCAGGAACACACAGTGGAAGAAGTCACTGCATGAGTCCAACTCCAAGGCATTCTGGGAAAGGCAGAGCTGTGGGGATACAGCCTGCTGGGTGTGGAAATAATAGCTATTTGTTCTGAATTTATGAATCTTAAAAAAGGCTAACAATATCCCTCGAAAAAGAAAGAAATCTATGGAAAGAAAAGTAAACAGAAATTTCCCAGTGAATGTTAAAAGAGGAAGAAACTCATCACCACAGCAATAAGGAGAGCAGAGACTTAATAATAGCCCTTCTAGTAATTTTCCTTTTTGTTCCCCCAAAATAAATGACCTTCTGATGCTCAGAAAATAATAAAATTTACCAAATTAAAATATTTAAACTAGCCAAATTCTGCCTTTACACCGACAGATGTTTCCCACTTTCTATAGAGACGGCATCAAATAGTTTTGATAAAATACGCTCAGTACATTCAGCAAGACCTCTCATCAAAGGACTCCCCACAATGCTCAGAATAATAGCTGAAAGTCATATTTTTTTATTCCCTACCTTTTCCAGTGCCACAGTGGTCCTGCTGAGGTATGGACTCTAATGCAGAAACTTCTTTGGCTTTCATGAGCTTCCAGGCGAGGTTCCCAGCAGATGCCTCTGGGGCCCAGGCACACCTGCCCCCTTCAAACCCATAGGTCTGTTGCTCTAGAGAGGAGAAGGTCTTGGGCAACTGTCATGGTTAACAGAAATCCCAAGAGCCCTCAAACACCCAAACCCCTCTCGGGATCACAGTGCCAGTGACTCTGCTTTCAAAGCTCTTGCAAGGATCCAGAGCCCCAGAGCACCGCTGCCACCAAAGACGGAAAGAGGTTTCTGCCTCTTGCCTCTTGCTAAAATCTTTGTGTCACTTGTGATCTTTATCTTGCACTACTTGGGGATGGGGGATGGGAGGTTGGGTGGGCAGGAAGAGCTCCCTGAGCAGTGCTTAGGGGTTTACACCCTAGCTGAACTCGAGGAACTGCACCAGGGATTGAACTCAAACCTCTCTCATGCAATGCCTGTGCTCTAGTCTACTAATTTGCTGATGATTTAGCAATTGTGATCTGCTAAATGTCATTTTTTTAAATAAAGTATTAAAAAATCTAATCTGACCCACTGTATGGAGTTTAAATGGCTCAAGCCACTTACTATTCCTAATCACGTTAAAATGCTTTTTGATATTTTGGGGGGGCCTTTTGGGTCACACCTGGCAATGCATAGGGGTTACTCCTGGCTCTGCCCTCAGAAATTACTCCTTGCAGTGCTCAGCGGACCATATGGGATGCTGAGAATAGAACCCGGGTTGGCCGCATGCAAGGCAAATGCCTTAACTGCTGTGCTATCGCTCCAGCCCCCCCTTTCGTAAAAAATTTTTTTGATATTTGGGGCAAAGGTCACACAGGGCAGCGTTCAAAAGGTTCAAGGGGCTACTGCCAGCTCTGTGCTCAGGGATCACTAATGGAAGTGCTTGGAACCATGCAGTGCTGGGTAATAGACCTTCAATTCCCGCATGCAGAGTCTGCACTCCAGCCCACTGAGCTATCTCCTTGAGCCCACATTAGAAGTTTAAAGAAGTAACACCAATTTCAAGATAATCCTTAATGAAATTGTTTTGTAAACAACATCACCTTAAATGAACGTTAGTGCTATCTTCACTTCTAAAACTAAAAAGACTTCCAGTAACACTGTGCTTAAAAATCTACTCAAAAAGATCTGGTGAACACTAGGAGATGACATTAAACCAAGGCAGGCTAGGGAGTGCCCCTAAAGAGTCATCTCTTTGGGGTCTGAGTCTCTGACAGCCCCTTACACTGACAAGGCGGGATTTCACACTTACCCCTCAGTCCTTTGTCTGTTGAGTCCAGCCTGCAGAGACTTGTGTCTGGAAGGCATCGCCCCTGCTCAGTCTGGGGTGCTTCTGGACAGGGCAGATTTTCATCTATTAAATGTAAGGGTTGAGAGGAAGTGAAAGGCAGTAGTAGGCAGACTTATGTCTGTTAAAATGCTAACCTTTGTTTAACAGACACTGTCCTCCCAACCCCTGGGTTACCTGAACCTTTAGGCAACCCGATGACTTTAGAGACAGAAAAACAGAAAATAAAACAGCCATGCATGCCCACACTTCTAGATTTGACCCACACCTCTTTGTTTGCTGATTGCTAGGCTCCAAACCAAATTTCCTGAGTGTTTAACTACCCAAAGGTGGAAAATTCGGAGCCTGTGTAAGGATACTTGTGCATGATAAATATATGGATTGACTTTATTGCCCAGGAAGTATGTTTTGTGTGGGATGACACAAGGTTCATAATCTATTTGTGGGCTGTAGAGACCATAATCTCTTTAAAATTTTTCATCTCCTCTTTACTAATGGAACTTAAAAATGTATTTTTATTGGGTTGACATTATTAGTTCTCAACACTGAATGGATTTCAGAAAGCACAATGTCTCACCTCAGCAATTGAACATGCCATATCCCACTCTCACCAGCATCTACGATCACTCAGCTGGCCTCCTCTTTCTGTTCCACCTGGCCTTCCCCTTTGGAAAGTACCATTCTGTTAGACTCTAAGGGCTTGTTTCCTGTTTGGCTTGTTTGTTCCTATTGGTGAAACCATATAGTACGTGTCTTTCTCATTCTGCCCCTTTTACAGTTAGCATAACTCCCTCATGATTCATCTATCATGTTGCAAATGGTAGATGTTGTCTTTTCATGGCTGTGTAGTGTTCCATTATGTATATGCATGACATTCTCTATCTGTCTAGAAGATACATTAGTTGTTTCTAACTCCTGGTGATTTTGAAAACTGAAAGGATTATAAGGAAGCAAAAATGTGTTCAAATTAGTGTTTCCCATTCTCAGGTAAATACCCGAAAGTGGAAATGCTAGATATATGGTGGTTCTACTTGTAATTTTTTTATTATTATTAGTGAAACACCATGAGGTACAGTTGTAGACTTACAACTTTTCGTTCTTGGGTTTCAGTTATGCAATGATCGAGTTCCTATCCCTCCACCAGTGCCCATTTTCCACCACCACGGGTCCCAGTATCCCTCCCACCCCCATACCCCCATCCCACCCTGCCTCTGCAGCAGGCATTCCCTTTTGTTCTCTTTCTTTTTTGGGGTGCTGTGGTTTGCAAAAGAGGAATTGAGTGGCAATCATGTACGGTCTACAGTCTACTTTCAGAGTGCATCTCCCATCCTGGGCGGATCTTCCTAACACCCTTTATTTGGTGCTCTCTTCTCTATCTGAGCTGCCTTGACCCCTAGAGTTTGCAGTTGGCCTCCAAGCCATGGAGTAAACCTCCTGGTATTTATCTCGGCTATTATTGGGTGTTAGTCTCCTATTTTGCTACTTTATGTTCCCCAGATGAATGCAATCTTTCTATGTCCCTCTCCTTCTGACTCATTTTATTTAGCATGATACTTTCCATGTAGTACCATGCACTTTCCATGCAGTTGTATGTAAATTTCATGACTTCATTCTTTCTAACAGCTACATAGTACTCTATTGTGTATATGTACCAAAGTTTCTTTAACCAGTCATCTGTTCCCAGGCACTCAGGTTTTTTCCAGATTCTACCCTATTGTAAACAGTGCTGCAATGAAAAACAAGTGCAGATGTCACTTTGACTATACTTTTTTTGCCTCTCTGGGGAATATTCCCAGGAGTGGTATTGCTGGGTCAAATGGGAGCTCAATTTCCTTTTTTTAATTAGTGAAACACCATGAGGTACAGTTGTAGACTTACAAATTTTTGTGCTTGGGTTTCAACTATACAATGATGAAATACCCATCCCTCCACCAGTGCCCATTTTCCACCACCAAGGGTCCCAGTATCCCTCCCACACCCTACCCTCCCCCATCCCACCCTGCCTCTCTGATAGGGCATTCCCTTTTGTTCTCTCTCTCCTTTTGGGTGTCAATTTCTAATTTTTGGAAAATCGTCCATACTGTTTTCCAAAAGGGCTGAAGCAGTCGGCAGTGTCACCAGCAGTAAAAGAGGGTCCCTTTCTCACCACATCCGCGCCAACACTGGTTGCTTTTGTTCTTTTGGATGTGGGCCAGTCTCTGTGGTGTAAATAATATAATATAATATCTCATTGTAGTTTTGATCTGCATCTCCCTGATGATTAATGATATAGAGCATTTTCTCATGTGCTTTTTAGCAATTCGAATTTCTTCTTTGAGAAAGTTTCTTGTTGCCCCATTTTTTGGTGGGGTTGGATGTTTTCTTCTTGTGGAGTTCAACCAGTACTTTGTATATCCTTGATATCAACCACTTGTCAGATGTGTATTTGGCGAAAATCCTTTCCCATTCTGTAGACTGTCTTTGTATTTTGGTCACCGTTTCTTTGGAGGTGTAGAAGCTTCTTAGTTTAAGATAGTCCCATTTGTCTATCTCTGTTTTCACTTGCTTGGCCAGTGGCATGACATCTTTGAAGATACCATTAGCCTCAATGTCATGGAGGGTTTTGCCAACTTTGTCTTCAATGTACCTTATGGTTTCTGGTCTGATGTTGAGGTCTTTAATCTATTTTGATCTTACTTTTGTACATCTAATCTTTGATAAGGGGGCAAGAAAAGTGAAGTGGAGCAAGGAAAGCCTCTTTAACAAATTGTGCTTGCAAAACTTGACGGCTACATGTAAAAAAGTGGCTCAGATCTCTGCCTAACACCATGTACAAAAGTAAGATATACTTGTAATTTTTTGAGGAAGTCCCATATTATTTTCTTTAATGGCCATATGAATTTACATCCCCATAAGCAATGCCTGATGGCTCCTTTTCTTCCACTTTTCACCAACACTTCTTTCTTCTTGACTTTCGTTTTTATGGTCATTCTGAACAGTGTGAAATAAAATTTTATGTGGTTTTCATTTACATTTCCCTCATGGAAAATCATACAGAACTTCTTTTCATGTGCTTGTCCAACTGTCTTCTTTGGTGAAATTTATAGCACTCTTATCTGTTTTCATTTTATTGCTCTTCATGTCACATGTCGCCACTTGAAATAAAATATATTTCCTATTTGCTTATTCTCCCTATTCCTAACATATAAGTTATATAATGGCAGAGATGTTTTCACTGCTATTTCCCACTGTCTAGAAAAATCTTAACATGAAATAAGTACTCAATATATACTTGCTTAATGAATGAATAAATGACTCAAGATTAATTTGACAAAATTACATATCATAGATTCTATAAGTTGTTCATATGTTAATTTAGAATAGAACTAAAGAAATTGCTTATAAAATTATTTATAAAAAACATCCATAATATGGTTTCTCATAATGCAAGCATACAAGCAATGAAAATGCAAACCCTCTTGAATGTAAGATTCATTGAAAATAAAACTGCTTATGCAATTAAGGGAGTGTAGGCAATAAATGAAGTTAAGATTTCACAATAGCAGTTATCTTGAAACAATTAAAACTGTAATTTTTGTAGATTTATATAACAACTACAAATCTTCCCTCTGGAGCTACATAATTAAATATTTGCCAAAGTTCAATTAGATGCTGTATATTATTTCTAACTTTCACTCTTTATATAAGACAGAAATTCCACAACATATTATAAGCAAAAATAGTGAAATAGTTCGATATAAATTGCATGGAATTAAAAATATAGCTTCTGTTGCTTAGTATTAAATATCTTTCACCAGTGTCAAACACTTTCAGTCCTTTGGTTCCCAACTTAAATTCGCCACTAATTAGTCTGTTGGCCTGCTCTTTTTTATTCTAGTGCATCCAATCCCAGTGCTCAAAGCTATTTTAAAACATCAATTATTTAATTTATATTCATTTTCTTTCCCTCTTGACCTTCTCTCTCTCAGTCTTATATTATTCCACAATCTGGCTATAAGTTTATTTGGAGGCTATTACAATCTTCCACCAATATTGCATGATTAATAGGATGACATTTTCCAAGCATTTCAGGTCTCTCTATACCAAAGAACTGCATGCTTTGAGTCTGCCATCCTTCCAATCTTATCTTGCATGAACAGTTTATGTGGAATTGGCCAGACTTTCTCTGATAGTAGGGAATAAATTGCGAGTTTCAAGACCACTGCAGTGAAAATTATAATTAGCAATCACTTTCGACTCCAGGGGTTTTTGATAATTTCTGTCAATTTTCTTAAATTAGTCATGGATTTTAATGAACAGTTCTTGAACCTGAAAAGGTGCCTGGAAGTTAATAAGACAAAAAAAAGGTATCTAGGTCCTTAGTTATTTCACTATCACTATTATTTATTATTTAACTGGGTAATAAGTATACATAGTTCAAATTTTAACTAAGTGATGATTTCTTGCATTTAGGACTTTTATAAATGAGACTAAGTCAAAGTTGCCACAAATCAGTATAAAATATTCACCAAATATTCAGAAGATTCTGATTATGAACCACAGCATGCAATCTTTATGAAAATTATGTTATTTATTCAAGAATCAGTGTTATTCAAGAATCAGTGATTAAGCACATTCTATTTAATCATAGTCACAAACCTTAATTTTTCATACTACTTAGTAAAATCTAAATATATCTTCATTTCAATATGTATACAATGAACACTCATATTTTGGGTAAAAGCAGTGCTTAGAATGGTACTTTTGAAGTTGTAGGAAATGTCTTAAAGATTTCTCCAATATTAGCAAAATGATTTAGCTTTTTTGTTCAATTTCCATAAAGTTCAGGAACATGACAATAGCTGAAAAACATAACTAAACACTATTATTATAAATCTGCTTATATTTTCATAGTACAAAAATATATCAAAAATATATAATTAAACTATCTTTTTCTGAGGACTTAGTTCCTCTTCATCAGAATGTTTTCAAATTTGAAGAACTACTACTTATTTTATAGATTCACTTTTCAATTAGCATAAAAGTTCAAACTTCTTTGTATTCAGTTCTATAAATTTGACAAACAT